TAGCCTAATGTTAAGTCAGGAGCCTAATGTTTTCCCAGAATGCAWTGGGAATCTATCAATGTAAACATAAACGTTGAAATACTTTTTCTGACCATCAACAAACCTTCAATAKCCTATTACTGTATATTGTTGCTTCAGTGGCAAATAGCTATTGCAGTAGTTTTACTGTTGAAAACAACACAAAGTCTTTTAGGTCTACAGAATCCCACAACTTGTAAGTTTGTTTTTTTTTATTATTATTTTTTTTTTTTATCTGGGGACAGAAAACAGATGTACAAAAGCCCGCAGGCCAAAGGTTTGTGGCCACAAGGGGGCGCTGGCTCTACATGTTTCAAACAGGAGGGTAACGTGAATGCTTCACCTTTGTCCTTCTGGTTAAAASCACTCYCAGGTTTGTCCTGTTTGAACACAAATAAGCAAGTAATGCCAACTAAGAACATTAAAGGTCCAGAAACACAACTCAGAATCATTAAGGATTAGCCTAAACAAAATAACAATGAAGACAAAGTGTAATAGTGTAATAAGAGGTGCAAAATGAACACAAAAATTAAAACAATGGGCTGTGTAAGAGAGAAAAGTTTTAGTTTATCATTTCTGATTTCATTACTGAATAAAACATAAACTGTGGTTTGACTTATTCACCAATTTATATTGCAAAGAGCCTGTAAATWCAGCAATCACTCACCACTTAAATTACTTTATGCTAATTTAACAATTTATAACACAAATTTAATCTCTGATTGTGCTGTGACTGCAAATATTTATAACTTTTATGCTTTTTGAGTTATTTGGCTTTATTTAAATAAATAATACATTATAGATACTATACAAATCTGATCAATTCATATGGCTTTTAGCTGTTTGCTGTTGTGCTCATTTTTACATTTTTGTAATAATTTTTGTACAGTTAGCTTTACTGTGTGTCCACTTTAAGCTTTTAGCTCTTGTGTCTTCTTAATTTTATCCCTTTTACTAATTTTACATTTGGCTTTTGGCAACTTTTTTCAGTTTTTAGCTATGATTTTGTTAATTTGAGATTTTTTTCAGGATTTTGGTAAATTTAGCTTTTACCTACAGTTTTGCAAATTTAATGAATTTTAGCTATGGTTGTAAGTCGGAGCTGCTACCTACTGATGCTGAAACACGTGACCGCGCACGTTCTGGATCGTGCGCGCGCCTCCTGCCCCCCTGATTGACAAAAGCAGCCAAACGTCAGTGAAGAACCGCACAGCTTCTGCTCGGTCTCCAACAGAAGAAGGTCCACCAGAGCTTTAATGAGGCTGGAGAGAAACCCGAACAGGTCTCGCGGTCTCTCTGGTTCTGTTCGGACCAGAAYCCATCTCGGTAATGAGACTTTTATAACTTATTAGAGCCGTTTTTGTGTTCGAACCAGCTTTGAGTTGCTGRTCCCTCAATGGAAAGATGACCTGAAACCGATGAGCAGCGTTCACTTCAGATCGGTGTCCGGGAGCTGAAGGACTCGGCGCATCCCGGAGGTGGGGTGGGGGGGTCTCTGAGCGGGATGGTGCACCTCCTGAGCTGCCTGCTGCTGGGATACCTGACCTGGAACCTGCGGATATCGGACGCTCAGGGAGAGTACTGCCAYGGCTGGCTGGACTCGAATGGGAACTATCACGAGGGCTTCCAGTGTCCGGAGGACTTCGACACCGCGGACGCGGCGGTGTGCTGCGGCTCGTGCGCGCTGCGCTACTGCTGCGCGGCGGCGGACGCGCGGCTGGACCAGGGCGTCTGCACCAACGACAGGGAGGTGGACAACACCGAGTATGCAGCGCGTGAGTTCTCTCTCTCTTTTTGTTTGTTTTGTTATTTACACCCTCAAGTTCAAAACGTCCAACTTAATCCAACCAAATAATAACAAAAAACCCCACAAAGTCACAATAATGATGAAGTGTTTAAAAGTTAAAGGGAAGTTATGGACTTTATAATAGGTTGCGGCAGATCTTTGAGTAGAGGTCAGAGGTCAGCCGAGCTGTGAAGTCAGAACAGAGCATGTTAGGTTTCAGAGAAAGTTTCCTACAAACAGACCACCCTGTAAGYCAAATAATAATGAGTAATTATGTAGTTCTGCTGGGAAAAACAAAACAAATACACAAAAATCCTTTAAATACAAACTTTACTTTATGTTATTGTTTTTTTACAAGTATTTTTTATACTTCATTCCATCGTCTGTTTGAGTTGGGTACATTAATTTTGTGTAAAAGTTGTGTTTTCAGCACGGACTGGGMAGAGTCTCCAGTTTCCACCTGCTTTTTTTTTTTTTTATCTCAGCTCCAGAGGAGTCCTTTTACCTGCAGCACGCTCCAGATTTTTATCAGAGGGARCCTGGATGAGTTCAGAATGGTCCCACACATCTACCTCTTTTAAGAACAAATCTTTCTTTTTATTACTATCATTTTAAAGAAATGATAAAACCTTTAAAAATGGAGATTAATTACAGTTCAGGACTGTTTGGCAGAGTTCAAACCTTCACACACAAACCAGCCTTTTGTGCATAAAACCCAAAAACGGGTTCAGTTTGGCTCCTTTTCAAAAAAAGGCAGTTTTGCACACAGTAAAACATTTTCTGCTGCTTTTCTAAACTGTGTCCAGGTGTTAGTTTAACCTACTGTGTGTTCTTGGGTTTTAATAACCGGCTGCTTTAACCCCTGAGGTTTTATCCGTTTGCTTTAAATTTCCCAAACGGATACGCTTTTAAGAGCCTGCCTGAACCGTGCGCTCACAAGTTCCTGTTTGTCCCCCATTTAAAATAAACATTTGTAGATTTCCTCCCTGAGAAGGCTGCATGAAACTCAACACGAGCTGTATTTCAAGGATTAAGAAAACACACGCAAGAGAAACTGAAGAATATTTGTAACAAAATTGATTAAAAGTTTTAGTAAATTTCCCACTAGGACACCGAATCTATCCTAACATGGGGAAAAGTGACAGACTTGTGGTTATTTTTGTCGTAGAAGGTGTGGCGGCCTTCTTGGATCAGGTTCACTCCAGAAGTTTATCAGTTTTAAACACATGGATTCATTTCTGAAAGCCTGATTCAAGTCTGCGCAGATGTTTTGCAAGCAAACAAAAACACAACTGAGCAGGCGATTACATGATCACCCATCTGGTGGGAATAGTTGAGATTTATAAATTAACTCTTACACTGAAAAAAATAAGTTTCAAGTTTTAGTTGTCAAAAAGAAATTACAGATAGAAATGAACATTAGTAATAAGTTAGTCTTTAAAAAAATGATAAGCACCAGAATAACTAAATCTGCCTCTGGTTTACTTTAAAACGTTAAGATTTTAAACATAAGGAAGCATTTCAATATTAAGAAATACTTTTTAACAGTAATTAGTTTCATTTTCATTATTTAATCATCTTTTTTTATTTGTTGTTTTTTCTCTCCAACATTAACTCATTCTGTCCCCCCCTCAGAGCCGGTCTACGTCCCCTTCCTGATGGTGGGCAGCATCTTCGTGGCCTTCGTGGTGGTGGGCTCTCTGGTGGCGGTTTACTGCTGCACCTGCCTGCGGCCCAAGCAGCCCACCCAGCAGCCCATCCGCTTCTCGCTGCGCAGCTGCCAGGGCGAGACCATCCCCATGATCCTGACCACGGCGCCGCCCAGCCTGCGCGCCCCGTCCCGCCAGTCCAGCACGGCCACCACCAGCTCCAGCTCGGCCGGCGGGGGCAGCTCCACCAGGAGGTTTTCTCTGGGGGGTCAGCAGCAGCAGCAGCAGCAGCAGCAGCAGCACGGCTGCTTAATCTCTGCCACCGTCTCGTCCTCGGCTTCCACGCCCACACAGAGCCCACAGACTCTCCCTCCGCCGCCGCCTCCACCGTACGCCTCCCCGCCGGGAGGCCTCCAGCACCCGCAGCTTCAGCTGCACCAGCCCTCCCACCCCGCCCAGAGCGCCGCTTTCCTGCTGCCCCAGCAGTTCTTCTTCCCCCTGCAGCCCGACGCTTTCACAGCGGCGAAGGGCTTTGCTGACTTTGGACAGAGCTGACAGGGCTTCCAGCAGGACGCCGTGGGAGCTTCCCAACAACAGGCCTGTCGGGGGGAGGGGGGGCATTTAGAAACTTCATGCACTTTTATATTAACAGAAATTTGGATGGAAGCTCACAGACTAAAATCTTGACTCGCTTAAAAAAAAAGAAAAACAGATGAGTGTCCTGAGCTTTTCTGATCAGAGGTTTATTAGACGGTGAAAACCTGGTTTTCACATCAAAAAGGACATCTTTTTTTAACAAAAGGTACTTTTTCAATTAGAGGAAATGTGAACTTTTGTAAAAAGTACAGCTTGTTTTGAGTTAAATCCGAGTATTGATCCCCTAATTCAAATAAAAGTTGTCTCTTGTAACCTGTGTGGACTGATCCAAAAGTGCATCTCATCATCATCATCACTGAAACAGAAAGGAACCAGGAGTGGCGGGTTCATCGCTGCAGCCTGCTACCTGTTGGTTTTTTCCTGCGCCAGACTTCCCAGCAGGAATGCGGCGCTGAGATCAGTCATTGTCGGTGTTCAACGAGCATGGCGTGGTCACAGTGTTCAAAACAACTCCCTGCAGAAAACGCAGGTTTAGATTGCAGCGGCAGGTAACAGGAAAAAAAAAAAAAAGAAAAAAAGCTCAACAAAGGCAGCTCTGTGTCCCGGTTTACCTGACTGTGAAATGGATCTGGCAATCGTTCGGTCCGAGGATGTTTCCCGCCACGTTCGGAGATTGTTTTTTGCTTTTATCACAAAACACGGCAGAGGCCGTGACAGACGCCAGCTCGAACTTTCAGCAACACATTCCACATCTGGTTCATAAAAAGACAACACGAGTGGTGAACATGTTTCTATAACTTTATCAGTCGTTTTGGAAAGATAAAACACGTCTTTGCCCGGCTTTAAGTTATCCTCACAGTAGGACCCTGATTATCATTTCTCCTTCGCTTTGTTTTAGCTTTAAATTGATGCAAGTTTTTTTCAAATGTGCTTTTTAAAACTTCTAAGAAAACCACAAAACCTTTGTTTACACCGATGATGAGATCAAGAACACATCCCAGTTGTAATTCCCAACATTTTCATGTAATCGAACCCTCTGGTGAGCATTTGTGGTCATCTTTTCAGCACAGTCCTGGGAAACAATGTATTCACCGCCATGGTGAAGAATAACCACACTCGTTTATCCAAATTATGTCAAAAGCAGAAGCAGGAAGGGAAAAGTTGGATTCTGTGTCTTTTTGTTGTGGGTCAGCTTGAAGTTTCTCAGGAAGTCATGGGACAGTCAAACCCTGTAAACAGCAATTATTTATCCAGTGACCCTTTTTATTAAACCAACGTGGGCTTGTTTGACTCAACTGTAATCAGATACAGCAAATGTTGGAAAAGCGGCCGCTCATCAAGTGTCGAGGCAATAAATCATTTCTGAAGCCACCGCCTGAGACCACTCATCACCGGGATCGAAATTTTAAGATCAACCGCTTTAAAAATTATTTAACCTTTTTCTTTGTATAAAAGCAACTCAAAGTTATTTTAATTTTGTCATTTTCCTTTTTTTATATTTCCTTTTAATCTGCAA